CATATAAGGTGGGTTTGTGGGGTACTTTGGCACGTAAAACAAGGTATGCGTCGGGACCAAGATCGGTGCGGGGGGGTGTTACCTGAATTGTACATGATTGACCCTTACGGCGATGTAGGAATCTTTTGTATCATACTTTGTACTGCATGTGAATGTCACAGCTTGATGCCTTTGCGTGTGCAGTCCGCAGTGGCTTAGCCCACACTCTCACTGCGCAGCCACAAAGAGACATCAGTCTCCGCGCCGCGCCTTGTCATTCTGACTGCTTGGGGATGTATCAGTATCCGTTGATCCCTAGTTGCGCTACAGGAAGGGTTGAGGGGGGGAATGGTACCGTTCTTGTTCATTGAGAAAACATCGCATGAGTTGTGCAATCATGGTGAGTCTACGGAACGGTGTTGTTGGCTGACCGATTGAAATGCTCGTCTTCTGACTGCTTTTCACATGTTGGGACTAAGATCGGTGGATGTGGTCCGATTTCATTCCTTCCAAAACAAAGTCACAACTGTTTGACTCAAATCACAATGGGATTGACCACGTCCACCGATCTTGGCCCCGACGCATGGCTAAAACAACATGCCATTGTAACAAACGTGCGTAATTACTCCGCCCCTTGCATCATTTTAGGATCATCTTTGCAACTGACTCAGTCTGTTAGTCAGTTTGCACTCATGACCAAGTCGGTCAAATTCTTTGCCGTGGGGTTAATAGGGTTGGCATGGACCCCTAAATATGGAATTATGCAACCCTTGTAAGCATTCATATCATGAATTGTCTAAACTCCTTATTCGGCATGCTTAAAGGGAACCCAGTTGAGCTGCCTAGTTTTTAGCGACATGGCTGTTTCGTGGATGGACTGTTAAGACAGGGGCCCCAAAATGTTGTTATTTACTGAATGGTACCCTCAAGAAAAACAACCTCCACGTTGCAAGTGAACCGTTTTGCAGAATTGGTTCAGTCAAGTAGCCGCCCTCCCGGTCAGCCTTTGGATGCCAAAAGCGATAGGATCAGAACTGCTAAGCTCCCTTGCCCTGACTTCCTACAAAGAACACCCTATGGTTGTCAAGGCCACCCCTCAATCCCAATAGGGGCTAATAGCGACCGATAAGGCTTATTAGGGCCCAAGAGGCTTCCTTTTTGTATTTTTTTTCGCGCAGCCCTCTTTGGGTGGACAACAATGGGAGAACACTTTAAGAAGGCTTATCCTTCGGGGATCAGGCGGCCCATTCAATGGAAAGTTGGCGGCAAGCTGACTTCGTGTTGTTTCGTGTAGTGCAGGAATAGCCACTAATTTCCGTCAGGAGTTCAAGGCGTGCAGGAAGCTGAGCAAGTCTCAGGCGGGCAGGGTTTAGCGCTTGAGCGGAAAGGCATTGCTGCGCCGCCTGTACACGATAGCAGGACAGCGGAGTGCGGTCATCCTGGCAAATTCAAGTCTGCCCATCAACACGCACGACTTCGGCTGGAGATGTGGCCCAGTAGTACCACAACACCTTTGCTGACATCATGGAGCGAAAGCTGAAACCGTTGTCGCTCACATGCCACCCTGAAGCAGCTGGTGGTGCTTCGTCGAACATCGTGGGTGTTTATGCACGGCTGGTTTCCTCTCGTATTCATGCTTGACGTTATTGCCCTTTCACATGGTTTGGAACCTCCGCTGCCTCGACCAACTTGACTTGAAGTCTTGGCTCCTGCTTGTCCAGTTGACCACATTTGCCGGTCCAAACTTTCATCGTGCTCTCTTGAGGCAGAAGCACCAAGTTGTTTCCTTTGCATACAATATTCTCCCACCAGGAACCATGGAAGCGCACGGGCTTTTGCACAGAAGAAAAGTCACTTGTCTTCCAAAAGCCACCTGGCACTTCCATGCTTTCGGAGGGTACCTTTGATTTCCTTTGTACCTCGTAGGTGTCCTGTCCGCATACTCTTCGTTGTTTTTTGTTTGAATTTGTCATCAAAGTTTTACTACCGAGCTAGTGGCTGGTTGACCTGTTGATCCATGTGGACAAGTAAGCTCTCTTTTGGCTTCACTTTGAAACCAAATCAGCAACCAACCATTTGGCAGATAGATCCTTTCTCACATGGGTGCGTGGTTTTGGAGGGATCCCTCATTCAAAACACATGAGTGTGTCTGTGGATCGGTAAATGAGAGGAACCCTCTAATGTGTGGCTTCCTTGTATTTTGCTTAAAACCGGGCAGGGATATCCCCCGAGTCTTAAAAAGAGACCCTCCGCAGGTAAGAGGGTTTGATCTCCTGGCTGGTTAGACTTCAAATGTGCCAGCTGGCAGTGGGTTGCCTGGTTGTCGTGCCCACTACGGATAACGGAATGGGAATAGCTCCATGTGTTGAACCATCTGGAAATTGATTCCTAAGTTTCGCAAGGCTCGGTTTTCTGATTGTAAGGGTCTTAGTAAGGGCAGATAGCCGGAATATATTTTCCCTTCAGCTCAAGCGATTGTGCCACGCTTTCGCTGAGGATGTGGACCGATCTCCGGTAGCCTCGCCCTCTAGACAGTCGCCGTTTATGGGCGGCAAGGCTGGACCATGACATAGGGAGTCTCGACCATGGCCCATCTGTAGATTTGTTTGTATTGTTTGAAGTTGCTTTTCGTTTGAGAACATCTGAATGGGAAGAACACCACGCAGTCATTTTAGGCGGCTCTCCATTTGGCGGACACACTCATATATGACACATCACATGCCACGACACATCAATTTGCATTGACAGCATAGCATGGCCGTCACACAAGTGAACATGTATAGAACGTTTTTAGTACGTACTTGCAGCCAATCGCACTGGACCCCTACTGTGGATGGACGAAATCCTGCACCACTTTGAAGCCACGGGAAACCATTGTTCGTTGGTATTTAAAGGGCAATCATTATTCCAGGGTTTCTTAGGTGGTGCAGGATTTCGTCCAGCCACAGTGTGTGTGTGTGTGTGAGAAAATGCTGCCTCGACAGTTTATTGCCACAGAAATGTTTTCCTGCACAAACAAGTCGTTGGCTTCTTTGTCAAAAAGGAACGGGATCCCCTATTGGGAGACGCAGCTCGTCTCCAAGACTCTAATTCCTGGGCAGAACATTCCCACCGTGACCAGGGTAATCAAGCACCCAGGGCACAGGGTCAGTCTCAGGGTTTTCTTTGTTGATGACCCAGAAGCCATTAAATCCAAAGGCCAAACCTAAGAATCCAATCAAGAATCTTTGGGCTTGAGTCCTTTTGATTGCCAGACCAGGCTGTTTTGGTTTCGCCCTTTTTGGGTTTCCGCAGTCGTCCTTTTCTTTTTGTAGCAGTTGCTTTTCTGGGGCTCAGATTTGTTTGGCCACGTCTTGGGGCTCATCCGCCAGCCGCTCGCAGGTCACCCGGGAGCAGTTCATCCGGAGGTTTCCTTTCAAGAAGGAGCCGTTTGGGACCATCTGACATCTTGGTTCTTGGCTAACATTCAGAAACAATTCCCGCTTACCCCAAACTCAGACCCCTTATCTTCAACTTCAAATATCTACCAAATTTGCAGCTAATTTGATTGAGTTTTGCCATTAATTTGGACTCCCCAAGTTGCTAAGATGCGAGGCCTTTTTTTTCCCTTCTTATTTCCCAGTAAGTCTGGCATGTACATCCTCGCTCATGTGTCGCTTCACTCCTGATGTGTCAATTGGCACCGGGCGTTTCCGGGCTTTGCCCGTACCCGTTGCTTTGGATTTTGGCACTGGTTTTGGTTTCGCCTTTGCTTTGCCTTTGGCAGGCACAAGGTCCAAACTCTTTGGATTTACTGCGGTTTTGCCAGTCTTGGCGCCAACGCCGGAATCAGAACTCAAGCTGGAAACTGAGCTGCTAGAGCTGTCACTGCTGCTGCTGCTGGAAGGTTTCGAAGCCTGAGGTCGGTCCAGCTTCTTTGCTTTGCCGTGTGGCTTCTTCTTGTCCTTGTTGAGCTTGTCAGGCTTGTTGGTTTTCTTGGCTTTCTGCTTCCCGTCCTTCTTTTTCTTCTTCTTCTTCTTCTCCTTACTGCTGCTGTTGCTGTTGCTGTTGCTGCTTGCACGCTCCTCCTCCTCTTCCTGCGCTTGCTGAAGATCCTGTTCTGCTTGTTTTGGGGGCATCTCAGGCGGGGTGTCCAAAGCAGCTGACAGTTCGCTTTCAGCGCATTTAGCCAGGGCATCCTCCACTTGCTGTTTCGTAGGCTTGGATTTCATGTCCTTGGCAGCGGGCAAACGTTTGCAAACGCTTTCAGTAACTAAGGCTAAAAGGCACCACAAGGAACACGCTGCAACACCTTCTACACCTCCCATTTCCCACACAAGTGTTTCAAATCATTTGGGTCATCTAAGTTGGGTGGAATACAGGGGTAAAAGTTGGTCATTCATTGTAGCCAAGGTTCTCCGCCATTCTTCTTGTGATGGGACCACAAAAAATTGACACAAGCTTTCAACGCTTGTGTCTGAGTCCGTTTCTCCTTGTACGACCGGCTGGTGGAATAGTGGGTCTTCCTCCGCTTGCTCGTCTTTTTGGGCCCCTTCTTGTCACCACCTTCCTTCTTGTCAGTTGTCACCGGAAAGTAAGCTTCAAAGCAGAACCTGCTGTACTGCCAAACCAGGTACGTTGATTGAGCGGGTGGGCGGAGCGCCTTGATCGGCCCCGGCGTTATCGCTTGTGCTTTTTCTTTGGAGTGCCCGCAACGACTAATGACGAACTCCTGCCTCCACTGGTCCTGCAGTTGGTCACGTAGGTCCTCAAATTGCGCCTCTTCCTGATCCCCCTCCAAACATTTCATTACCTGGTTGAGCACTTTGGCGCTGCATGCCTCTCCTTGGTGTTTTCCCTTTTTGCTGGCTAGAAGCCTGTTCAACATTGCCAATCTTTCTGATTCCTCAAGGTCCCCGAAAAGGCCATCGATCAGACATTTCCTTGGGTGAGTCGAACTCGCAAAACAGAAATCGTCATCAAGTTAACTATTTGGAATGGTTGGGACAGCGTTGGTAATGGGTCACAACAAACGTTTGGAACTAGCCATTGCCAAGGGTCAATCTTGACTTCACCCCGAGCTTGCTTTCAGCGTAGCGTTCAGGCGTGAAGTTTAGAAGAAGTGTCAAAGCAGCCACCTGGTGGTCAGTGACAAACTCCAAAGAGCCATGCTTGAGGAAATACTTCGTGATGGTCATGTTGCCACCGGAACGTTTCAGCAGCAAAGAGCGCTCAGGGTTGGAAGTTGGCAGGCCTCCGTGGGCACAAGACTTCGTGCAAATGGCACGTGTGCTTTCGTGAACTGGAAACCAAAGCCAATTTACGCTTTTGGCAACTAAGGGAAAGACTAACTTCCCAAGGAACACCCTGGTACACCTCCACATGTTCTTCGTTCTTCCCAGGCTCGTACACGTCACTAAGCCGCAGAAGTTGGATTCGTCGGCGAAGCTGGTTCTTTGATTGACCGGGACGGCACAGGACGAACAGACCTGGGCTAACCTCGTCCACAAGCCAACCCAAGCCGCCAGTGCTGTAAACCCCCAGTGACAGGTAGTACTTGTTGGAAACGGTGTCCTGGTACAGGCCAAGCAGCGACAAGAAGCAGGTACACCAAGAGCTGCCCACACCTGCGAAACTAAGTGGACGCAGATCCCTGAGAGTGAGCAGGGTCGCAACACTGCGCAGGTCGGCTTCTTGTGAGGCAGGCTTCTCCGTTTTCGGCTTGTTGCGCTCGTGAGTAGCAGCTTCATCAGCCAGCATGCCTGAGGGCCGGAGGCGCAAGGCGGCCCTAGAAGTGCTGGGCCTACTGTACATGTGAGAATGGGCGTGTAGCAAAAGAAAACTGTTGGTTGGTTGCTGCACTCTGTTGCTTAGACGATGTTTTTTGCTATGACGGCCGCGCAATCGCCAGTCCCCGTGCCTCGTGGTTTCAGCCCCGCCGCAAAGTGCATCTTGTCCACTAGCTCGCAACTTGTTGTTGGGGCGTATCGTGCAGACACCGAAAACGCTCGCGCCCTCACATTCTCGTAGCTGGACAGGTGCCGAGACTCCAGGTCGCCACGCAAAAGGCGCATCACGGGCCAGGAGTGCTCTTGCCAACGAATTCCGTTGGCGTGGATCATGTAGGCGCGTTCAGGGCTAACCGCGTTGAAAGGATTTCGGTTCCCCCTCTCGCGCGCATCGCTCAAAGTACCTATTACATCCTCAGCGCTTTCTTTGCTGCTGACGGGCCCGTCAAAAACACGATGCACGTGAGCAAAGAGCGCATTCAAATCCCAGTTGAAGGCCGCCCCATGCGCCCAGCAATCCTGAAATTTTGCACGGCGCATTGAACCGGAAACTGTTTCGCAAAAGTAAAGACTAAACAAATTGGTGCACCCGTTGACGGAAGCAGCAAATGGAGAAACATAGGAACCCAGATGCTGCACACGCCGAGCGTCTTTGACAGCTGTCATTTGGTCAAACCACAGCAGCCCCAAAGCACCAGAGAGGTCCTGGGGCGCACGTCAAACAACACATTTTGTGGCTGGCGAAAAGGTAAAACATTTGGCTTGTCTCAACACACCTGTCAAATAACGCAACAAACCCGTTCTTTCTGTTTACGCTTCCTTTGTCAAACCCCGACGACATATTTCCAGGCCAGCCTCTGAGTTGTAGTTCGGGTCGTCTTGAAGTTCGATTGCCCGCTGAACAACTTCGTAGTCGTCACGCATGCGTGCCAGCGCCTCTGCTCGCCTTTCGCCAGACTCATGCAAGATGCCAGCAAAGTTGAAAGGCGGAATTTCACTCCAAATGGCCATTGACCATGATCTGTTTGAAGCAGTGCGAATCAGCAAGTTCACAAAGGCCAGCGCGTCCTGAGCGTTGTCAAAGCGACACGCCCGCAAACACTCCGCGTCCATGGCCATCTCTAAGATGGCCCCAGTAAGCACAGCCCACTCGCGCGTCGCCCACCCGGCTTGTAGCTGGATGTTCTGCTGCCGGTCCTGGCTGATTTGTTGCACAGCAAAATGATGCTCCCGGAGTGGTAGTTGAGAGAAAAAGATCCTGAGCAAAGGCATACTCGCAAAAGCACGCGACAATAATATCAGACTGGTTTCTTGGTTGAGTGTGAAAAAGCAAGGATACGGCATTCGCGCAAAACCGCCTTACGATTTCACAACACTGTCAACTCAACTAGATGGGCACGGGGTTCCTCTGCGGTCAAGCAGCTGGTAAGCCAAGTGTTTGATCCGCTCGTCAGACAGCACATCCTTCGTGACATCCAAGTGATTTCTGTGCTGCTGAAGCTCCCGCAGCGCATCAGCAATTCGTTTGCCCTCTCCTGCAAGTAGGCTGGGGGCGTCCGCAGAAGGGTCCTGGCGCGTGTTTCACTGAGGGAGAAACAAACCAACGCAACAAAGGTGAAGCGGCCACATGGGGCATAGCAAGCGGCTTGGTGTCGCTTGACCGACTGTCACACGCATTGCAAAGTTCAACGCGCGCGTTTTGCCAACTTTGGTTCGCAGGGGCGCCAGCAACTCGCTGTTTGTCCGTTTGACATGCACCTTGTGCGGCACACACGGGCCTCCACTCGTCCTTCACACTCTGCCCTGTACTGCTGCACAGTGAGCATAAAGGTCCACACCCTCCGGAAGCTGCCAAACCGTATGTTCCAGTTGAAGAATCGGGAGAGCTTGGTCTGCCAGGGGCACGCGTCCAGCAAAGTAACCCCCGTGGGAAGGGACTAATATTTTGGGGAGGGTTGATTAGGGGACCCCCTTTTTCGGTTGGTGGCTAAACGGGGGACCTGAGAAAACCCACCATGAGAACTACTGCTTTAGAATCCCAATTCGGTGAAATGTACCTGGTTTCTGAACAGGACGCAAAGTCTGCACCAACAGGGTTCCCGATATTTCCCCCTGAAATACGGTGGGCAACAGTGTCATTCCAAAAGACAACTCGCTTGTGTCACACACACATACGCCTCAGCTGGGTTGGTGAAAGCATGCATGTGGATCCTCAGCTGGCTTGCTACCGTGTCAGGGTCCGCGTCGATCGGGAGGCCCAAATCGTGCCTCATCTCAGAGATATTTCTTTGGAACCTGCGCCGCCGTCCGGTCGTGGCTCAAGAATTCAAAAATGTCCCCCCCCAAAAAAAACACACACAAGCAAACCAAACACATATTGACCCTTCATCAGCTTAGCGCTACAGGTGTCATGGGGGTGTAACTGACACGCAATTCAAGGCTCAAACCGTTCAAGCGGGGGTGGATAGGCTTTGAACCCTTGAAGCAACGTCTAGGCAATTCTCTAAAAACCGAACTATCAGGCGGGCATGGTTGCGAAGGGCGGTGTGATTTCAGGGGTCGAAGGGCTAACCCACGACTCCAAAAAGAACAGCAGCGCTCCGAGCCTTTCTGAGTGCGGTGGATTTGCCTCCAAAAAGACAAGGGCGTACGCAGACAGCGCGGTTCCAGTGACATATGAAGAGAATGGTTTCTTGTTCACGCTCATGGCAACCTTTGTTGCGGCCACAATGCCTGCCAGGGGCGAGAAGGGGAACCTAGCTGCCAATTGCTTCAACGAACCACTTGTTCACTGGGGAGCTGGTGCGTCAATAAGTTCAAACGGTTTATGGGTATCATGTGTAGACAATACAAACATTGGCTGGGGCCTCACGCTGCAAACCACAACTTACTTTGCAACCCCTGTCCGAATAGTCCTTCACTCTTCACTGCTCTTGTGGTGTCATTTACCATCCGATGGTGTTCGTCCCTTTTTCTCACCACCCTGGCTTTGCAACCGAAGATCAATTGGTGCTCCCACTTCAGCCTCAGCCAGGTTCGGAAACTGTTTGAACATGATGAATTGGAAAATGGGAGCAAGAGACAAAGGAGACGTGTTGAGATAACTTAGGCGCCCAACTGTTTTCGTTCCTCGTCGGCGACAAATGTCAGTATTGGAAGATCTAGCAAGTGATTCGCAGAGCGTTGCCCAGGCAAAGGCGCTCCGTGTGTGGGAAGCAGTTGGTCAACGTCCATAACGTGTCGCACGGCGTTGACCAAAAGCTTCACCGCGTTCACCTCTGCTTTCTTGTAGAGGCTGCTGGTGCGCCGAAGTGCAGCGGCGGACCCCATGGGAATGTCCCCCCTTGCCTCCATCGCCTAAGGTTGACACCGACACCAGAACCCTCGTATCAAATATAGGATTGGGATTCAGCCCCCTGTTCTTCTTATATGGAGACCCAACCGCGACTACAGCCATGCGGCGCCGCTCGTTGCTATTGCAGCCAAGCTGCTGCTGCTGTTTGGAGAACTTGCAGCTCTTCTGTCTCGACTTCATCAAGACTCAGGATGTCAGGCTGGTGCACCTGCGTATGGGTGACCGAGTTCAGGTTGGGGGGGGGGGGGGGGAATTTCTTGGCTGCAAAGCCTCTGAATCTGCAGGCAAGTAAGGCACAAGTCAAGGCCAAACTAGGTGTTCCCTTTTTCCCGTGACGGGTGGTCTTTGCATCCTTCGCTTGAAAAAGTGGCGCTGAGCTTCGCGCTAGCCGTGTACCAATTGTTTGTGTGTTTTTAGCACGTGTCCCCTTTTCAGTTTCAAAAAGCAACCAGACCTATTCCCGGCCATACTGCGACAAAAGCCCGCAAGCCGCAATTCTGTTCAGAGACTGGCTGGCTCAGGCAGCAAGTTGCCACGCGGAAGCTCGTCCAGGGCAAAACGCAGCAAGTCAACAACTTGAAACTCGTCAATTTGGAACAAGGTTTTGCTATTGCTACGCTTCCGCTGGTTTGCCCGCAAGCCACTACACCATCGTCAAGCTGAGGATGCTCCAAGCCAGAGGCGCTGCAGCTTCTTGCCAAGCAATCAATCGCCTGGGCTTGGACAATCACGCACTCTCAGCGGTAGCTCCCCCACCTTTATCCCAGGCCCGCTCCCCCCTGACTAACCCTCAAAACGATGGTTAAGGGGTCAGTTGGCCGAACCCGGAAATCTGCGTGTGCCGTGGGGGCCCGCCAGCTGACCCCTTAACCTGTGACTATTTTGAGACTATCTTGGGCTGTTGGTTTTGGGCCACTTTCGGGTCCACAGTTGCATCCGGGCTACTGGGGCTTGGTGGCTCAGGCGGCTTCTGCTTGCTTGCTTGGCGAAGAAGGTGGGGCGGAGTGGCCTGATTGGTTGGGTTGGCCGAGGAAGACTCCTCACCAAGGCCGGACTGCTCGCCTTCGATCGGGGTGCCGTCGAGCTTCTTTTGTTCCTGGCAACGAAACTCACAAGTCAGTGAACAGTTTCACAGGAGTCCAAGCAGTCCTCCTCCGTGTCTGCACGCTCAAGCTTTTGCTTCTTGAGAGCTTGGTCGATCTCATGCTGGAAGAGCAAGCGTGCCTCTTTCATCCACTCCTTTTTTGGACCTTCCAAGTCTGCCTTGCTCTCGAGCTTTTCCGGAATCGTGGAGGGTGAAGGCGGTCTGCGTTGGAACAGAGGTGATGCCATGATCTCATCAGCCTCAGGTGATGATTTTTCAAGAGCGAAGCTCCCACCAAAATCCCTGGTGCAAAATTGTTCGGGCTCCACATTGCAACCAAATGTTCAGTTGAGAAGCATATTGAGAAAACCCCGTTGTTGGAGAAGTCACAAGCTCCTTGCGGCTGTTAGTGCGAAGAATCTGGTAGTCCATCCCATCGTTCGCCGGCAGAAAAGCTGTGTCAGAGGGGTTGGTCACGCTCACCAAAACGTTTTGTGGGAAGGACAGCAACGAGGTGATCTTTGTCATCACCCTTTGCGGATTGGCACGGAGAGCCAGGAGCTGGGGTCATGGGAGTCTGCGGCTGGGATGCTTGGCCTTCAGCAAGACACGCCAGTGATTGCTGTTTCTGAAAGCTAACAACAACATTCCCAGGCCACCCCTCGAAAATGGTTGGTAAGTGTGCTCTTGAGGGCTACATGGGTGCGTTTTCAGCTGTCAGAAACAGATACCCTGCCTGGCGTGCCAGCTGCAAGAGTGGGCTCGTCGGCTTGCTTCAGCAGGTCGTTCACCCAAAGGGATTCCTGACCGTTGGTGATGTAGGCGGCGGAGGACCTCAGATCAAAGCATCCTGTTTTGTTTTCCTCTGAAAACGAGACCTTCGCGCGAAGTCAAACCCTGACACTTGCTGTCTAGGCACGCAATGTCCCACAGAACCTCTTGAGACCACTGGCTGACACTACGGGGCAAAATTGCATACTGCCCGTTGCGATGAGCAAGGACCCACTGGCCATCAACCGCCTGGTAGATTGAGAGCTTGGCAACAACTTCATCTTTTTTGGTCCTGTCTGCCCTGATGGAGCGAAGAATCTCCGTGGATGTCCCTAAGGCAGACACAACACCAGCAACCTTTCAGTTCCATGGAACGACTTGAGCAGGTATTGCAAAAAACAAGCTCATGAGTAATGCGTTCTGTCGAGGAGCAAGCTGTTATCTCGCCATCCGCTACTTGCCGGTCATACTCATCCAAGAGGCCGGCCAGATACTTCTTGCCTGACGCGGGCAAGAAGTGGGATGTTCACAAGGTACAAGTTTCAGACTGTTCAACCCTACCAACTCGCGCATTTGTTTGATGCAAAGTGCGGCTGCCAAACATGTTCTTGGGCTTTGTGTTCGGGTCTTTGCTCAGCAATTTGGCAAGCGCCTCCTTGGCTGCGCCACGTCAAGAGCCCAAGCACTACAAACAATCAAGCACCAAGCGTGCGCTGGGATTGCAGCCGACGCGCGGTGGAGTCGTTATTATCGAGGGTGGAGAGGATGTCTTCGTTCCACTGGGTGCTATGGATTTGCCCCAAAACCCAAAGCTTATCTTTGCACGGCACTTCGTACAGGTTGTTGAAGTTTAAGGTGTCTCCGCCGGTGGCGCGCGCGCTTCTGGTTACTTGAGGATTAGCTCCTCTGGGGACGGCCGGCGCTCGTCCAGTGCTTTGTCCAGCTCCAGATCGAGGAGGGCCTGAAAAAGGGAGCAAAACAAAAAGGGCGAGCAAACTGACGCGTTCAACCCACCAAGCACAAAGCTTGCCTCTTTCACGTGTCCGCATTGCCTCAGGAGGGCCACCCTGTCCTCGCGTTGAAGGAGCTGGCACTGGCGGGCCAGTGGGTGTTGGAGGAGCTGGCAGGCTGCCAGCAGCGGGCGGGGGCGGCCCAGGCCGGGGCCTTTCTGTGGGCGCGGCAGCTGGGGCTGGGGGAACACCGAACATGATTTTTCCACACACTGAAAATTCGGGAGCCAAGGCTGCAGTACAATGAACAAGTGTCCAAAGTGCAAACTGCTGTTTGAAGAAAGTCTCGAGCTCACAGTTCTGCTTTTCTGCGCGGAAAGAGGCGCGCGTGACCAGTCTACATGGCAAGACAGGCCTGGGAATTCAGCGCTTCGATTACACGGGTAGGTTACAAAAAGCGCGCGCAAGTAGCCCTG